AATTTGTTAGTCTCTAAGGTGCCACAAGTACTCCTGTTTTTTTTAGTAGGGAAAGGAGCACCTTTGCTCTGCAGTGGCTTCTATAGCCAGAGAGAGAAATGAACCATTTCTGGTTTATACTTTGAGGCGAACAGTCTAGCAGCAAAATGAAGTTAAGAATACAGAGCTGAACAGCAATAAAAAAAAAAGCCAACTGCTTCAGAGGGAAAACCTTCAGTAACTCAGTTGTCCTCTACAGCAAGTTCCACATGTAGTTAGCTAAAGAAATGAAAGACCCTTATGGTCTTCCCAAAGCATGTTCTTCACACCGAGTTTAGAGAAACAGTGGAAGAGCACACAAGGGAAAGGGAGAGACAAAATGCAAAAAGTAAAAAGGGAAAAGGGAAAAAAGAAAGGGGAGCGATAAAATGCAGAAAGAGAAGAGATAAGGAAATTAAAAGCATGTGTTGTACTGATAAGGGGAAGGTGGTGAACAAGGGACAAGGTGCTAATAAACCCCTTGTTCACCATTCTGTTAGAAAAGTTTAGCATTCTTTGAGATTGTGTCAAATCATTACTAGCTTGTTCCCACTGTAACAACCATCGTAAGATTTAATTAGGCACACATTACTAAGCAATTTAAATATGCCAAAACAATCTCTTTTAACAAGTTCTTCCAGTTACAAAAGGTGTTTAAATAAGAACTTATACCATCATAGCCACAATGCTCTCATCCGTGCCTCTTAAAATGAAGTCATAATGCTTAGAATAATGAACATTTCCAGCAACAGCTATGCGGTCATAAGTATAAGACTATGACGGTTTTACAGGATTTATCACCAAAAAATAAGTATTCAAAAACAGATATGCAACAAAATGAACACTAACAGCTACTTGCAAAGTAAATTACATTTTGCAAAAACCTTTTCTTGTTAAGGTCATTCAAGTATGAAAGTTCCTCTAAAATTATATCACTACTTTCCCATCATTATGAACATATTTCTATTTTCCTCCATATCAACATTTGTATTACAATTGTATCTGAAGACCACCACACCCAATCCAGATCAGGTCCCCACTGCATTAGGCACTGTACAAATATATAGGAATATATGATCCCTGCTCCAAAATTTACAACTGAAATCTTACACCTAGAAGAGAAAGAAAAGAGTAAAAGCTCAACTAACTTTGATTGTTTAAACAGTTAGAGATGCTTGATGTTTGTAAAGAGTTACACACAAAAGTCTCAGAAATAGCTTACCATCTCCTATAAAGTATTTTTTGAAAGTACGGGGGGGTGGGGGGTAATAGCTCACTGGTTTGAGCATTGGCCTTCTAAACCCATGGTTGTGAGTTCAATCCTTGAGGGGGCCACTCAGGGATCAAGGCAAAATCAGTACTTGGTTCTGCTAGTAAAGGCAGGGGGCTGGACTCAATGACCTTTTGGGGTCCCTTCCAGTTCTATGAGATAGGTATATCTCCAGATATTATACACCACATACTTAAGTAACTTAAAAGCCTCACTGAGGCACTTAAGCACTTTTGAAAGTGTCACCAGTAATCCCAGTTCCTACAAATCAATTTCACAGCACTTCAATAGAAGGGTAGGGGGGAAAAGACAAGTGTTATTTAAGTGCAAAATATTATTACTGAGACACTAATCTATAGAGTTTTAAGAACGTTATGTTAAGCAGATTCCTGGCAGGTTAAGTGCACTTACTAAGCGTTATTTCAACAGTGGTCATTTATGTACAAATACTTATGCTCGTTTGCCTACACAGTTAGCACAGTGGAGTCATGAGAGGAAAGTTTTGGAAGGTCAGCAATACAAATGTGGATAAGGCAACATAGTATTATGTATAATTTTCTGCTTTCTAAGGGGGACAAGTTTTGTTCAAGGGCCATCTAACATCACCAGAAAATGTTTGGCACCAAAATACAGATGTAAAAAAAGCCACATGCTGTAAATCAGAGAGAGAGCGAGAATGCACTAGTGTAAACAAATTGTGTAACCTAGTACACTTGGCATAGTAGCACTGACTAGATAAAAATACCGAACAAAAACAAGCAATCAGTAAGATAACCTGATAACAGTCCAGACTAAACAACTATTAAGGACACTCAACATTTCCACTGCAAAAGCCACACTGTTTCTCGCGGAGTCGAAGAGTGCACCTCCATTACGTTGGCCGCCTTGGGTAGCGATGGAGGTGGGACAGCAATAGCCAGTCGGGGCTACCCAACACCAAGGCAGCCCTACAAATATTTCCTAGGACCACTAGCAGGGACCCGATCTGCATCGGAAGCCCCGCTAACCTCTCACCAGGTGGAGAGGACCGAGGGGTTCCCTTCCCTCCCTCGCAAACCGGGCTCGGGCACGCCAGGCAGCCCGCCCGCCGCTCGGCTCAACCGGGAGAGCCACCCCCGCTCCAGATCCCCAGCCCGTGGGCAGAGACCTCCCCACTCCCGCCCGGTGCCCAGCTCCCGCCCACGCAGCAGGCAAGCGCCGGGCTCCCTGCGGGGAGGGGGGGGGGCGTCTAATGTCCGTCCGCGCCCCGCCCGCCAGCCCGGGCTTCACCTTCACCCCGGGGCAAGGCGGCGGCTGCGGTCCGCGAGGCTCGGCCTCCGCCGCCCGGCTCCGGGCACCTCCCGTCGCACCCAGGCGAGAGGGGGCCAGTGGGAAGCCGGAGTCACCCGCAGGCCGGGACAGGCCGGGCGCGGCTCCAGCCCAGCGCCCCCGATGTTTTCATACAAACCCCAGCAACAGCAGCGGAGGCGGCGGCAATAGGAACCTGTCGGCGTCCCGGAGACGTCATCGCGCTCCCGCCTCTCCCTCCCCCCGCGCGCAGTCCCGAGGGAGGCGCGTGCACGCGGCGGGGTGGCGCCCTCCAACTGCAGAGCCGCCCGCCCCGCTGCCAGTCCCCACGCGTGGGCCTTGAAAGAGGGGATACTGGGTGCTGCTGGTCGGGGTCAGCCCGGGTTAGTGCCCTGCCTCCGCCAGCGGCCAATAGCAGAGCTTCCCAGGAAGGTGCAAGAAACCCCCTAGTGGGCAATGAGAGAACCAGATTTAAGGGGGCCCTGGCCAGCCCCCTTGCGTGCATGCATTGTGGTGCAGCCTTTCCTGTGATCGCGCACAGTTTTTTCCCTTGAAGGACCCCTGCCTGTGCCCAGGATGGGTAGTGCTCTGTGGCTGAATCAAGGTTACTAGTGAGAAGGCCCCGGGTTGCAGAAGTTGGAAGGCGTGTGGAGAATGAGGCAAAGAACTGCAAAAAGAGAATGGATGAGCCTATGGTTACAGTTTGTGTGTCATCCAGGTGACCTAGATTCTGTGTGTGCCATAAAGTGCCTACATGACACTGGGCGAGTCACACCAGAAATTTTGCATGTAACCACTAATCATGTGTTACTCATTTGATGGGTGCACAGCTTAAAACATATAGGGCCTGGTTTTCACAAGTGCTCAGCAATCACAACTACAAGGGAAGTCAAGGGGAGCTGCCATTGCTGACTACCTGTGGAGCTAAGGAAGGGTGGTCTAAAGGACTGAGCAAGTGTTTGAGGAACAGGGGTCCTAAATTTTCATTCTGGCTGTATTACTGATTCATCGTGTGGCTGGGGATCACTTTGCCTTTCTTTGTTTTCCCATCTGTAAAAGGGGGATAATAATATATAAATCACAGGAGTGTTAAGAAGATTAATCAGTTAATGTCCCTAATGTGCTTTCAACATATGAAGTGCTACAAAAAATGCTAAGTATTCTGAAAAACCAGGTCCTAGTTGTCTTAAATTTGGTGCCCCATCATTGAGCTGCACAACATTAGTGGTGACTTTTGAAAATGTTGACCTTAATTTCCTGGTGCTTCAGTTTCCCAGCTGTAAAAACCCTGCCTGCCTCAAAAAGAATCCTATTTCCTTTTTCAGGAAGCTCTTTAAAGATGGAGGTGGGTGCAAAAAGAAAATGATAAAAATTCTAGGACCAGATGCTGTGACATGCTCAACATAGGACTCTCAAGTAATTTATGATGTATTCCAAGTAGAGCTAGTTGAAATTTGGAAATTCTGGTTCACAGAAAATTGTCATTCTGAAATTTCAATCAAATTCAGGTCAAAACCAATTTCCACTCCCCCAAATTTCTCACAAACTGGCAACTTTGAAAAACTTCATTCCAGAAACATGGTGTTAGATAAAAGATGATCCCAGATAGCTGGTTCATGAAATTGACATAATTCATGGCAGTTTCACTGCTGCCCACCACTGAACAGTATCATGGAACTGACCTGTGAAACTGACATGGAAAGTGTCTGTAGCAGCTACTGCAGATCCTGGTTTCTACCAGCTCCAGGGCAGCCCAGCCACATGGACTGTCCTAGAGCCAGGGAATCCTAGGCCTAGGAACCGCAGGACTGCCAGGCCAGCTGGCTTTCCAGGCTGCCTGACTGACTCATGAGTCTGGCTCAGCATCAGGAAGCCTGGAAATCCTATCTGAGATTCAACAAAAATGTGTCAACCCTTAAGTGTTTTCACAAAACCACACTTTACCCCAGCCTCTCTAGCTAGAATGGTTCTCAGCCCCATTTCCTTCTCATGTATGCTTCTAACTCTTGCCTGGAGATATCAGCAGGCTGGCCCCACCATCATTTCCCAGCCTTTTTTCGTGGGCTAGGTGGAAATTTGGCTCAGATAATCAAAGACAGAAATAGTAGGTGATGGCAAGAGGACAGCAAAGAATGAGTAAAACATGCAGCTTAAGTATAGATACAAATGTACTGAAAAATTTTGAAAGCTAAAAATAAGTTGACAAAAACAGTTCATTTTAGTCAGTAAAGACAGTCTTTCAGAAGATAAGACTTCAGGCAGCTACGTGTGAATGATAATACAGAAGTAGAGTCATTTTTTGACTGCATAGAAAAATAAAAGAACAGTCATCTATTGAAGCAAACAAAGTATAGGACATTTTGATCTGGTTCATTTTTACAAACATTTGTTTTGATCTTCAACACTTATAAAATTATGAACAGTCATTTAGCATAGGGAATTACAGGAAAACAAACAAATGGATGATTGAGTAATAAGAATAAAGTGAATAAGAATAGCTGAAAGACTTGGATCAATGATATAATTCTAAGGACCAAATTATGGGTCAAATTGTGTCCTCTTTTACATCCTAGCAGCCACATTTCCTTCACTATGGTTATTTGGATATAAATGAAAGCTGAGTCTGAAACTATGCCCTCAGACCCACATGCAGAACTACAGTTCAAGCCTAAAGGAATTGCATATGTATGTGTGGAATTTAGCCCTAAAAATGTTACCATATAGTGCAAGCCACCTAAACATGCATCTGTTACCTCCCATGTGAGCTTCACTCACTCATCCCAACACTAGTTAGAATATAATGAGTACACATAAATAATGAATCAGATGGATTCCTATTCCTAAAATGCTTCCTATTCTACCTGGCTAGATAGAGAGGGGGCATTTGTAAGCATATCACATTGTAAATAGGTTGATGGTAAACTTTTTGTTGTTCAGGTTTTTTTACTTACAAGTTTGTGGCATCTTGAAATTTGAAGTATCTTTCAAAAAAGATTCAAAACTACTGGAGTATTATTTATGTGTATTAAGAAGCAGTAGGTAAATGTGTCCAAAATTAGTGTAAAAAGAACTGGAGTACTTGTGGCACCTTAGACACTAACAAATGTATTTGGGCATAAGCTTTCGTGGGCTACAGCCCACTTCTTCTGATCTGAAGAAGTGGGCTGTAGCCCACAAAAGCTTATGCTCAAATAAATGTATTAGTCTCTAAGGCACCACAAGTACTCCCGTTCTTTTTGCGGATACAGACTAACACGGTTGCTACTCTGAAACCTGTCAAAATTAATGTGTTCATCACAGTATACTTTGTAAAGGTAAAGTATTTATAAAGAGAAATGAGTTAAACAATAACTCTGTATGCTTCTCTTGTTAATTTTTGTTTTAAAAATTAGAGTCCCCTTAGACAGCAGTGGAAGTAGTATGGAAGTGCATGAAAGAAGTGAGACTTTCAAGTGAGAAGGAGAGAGAGAAAAAACAAAAAATATATAGTGATACAATTTCCTGATTCTGGGGTTGGTTCTATGCCACCTCCAGCCTAACATGCTTTTGAACAGGGGTTCCCAAACTTAATTGCATCATGACCCCCTTCTGACAATAAAAATTACTATATGACCCCAAGAAGGGGGATCGAAGCCTGAGTCAGCTGGTTCCCCAGGTGGGGGGAGGGAGCAAAGTGGAAGCCCGAGGGCTTCAGTCCCAGGCAGTGGCCTGTAATCTGAGTCCCAACACCCAGAGCTAAAGCCCTTGGGCTTCGGCCCCAGGGGTGGTGCTTGGGCTTCAGCCCCGGGCCCCAGCAAGTCTAATCCCACTTTGGGGTCCCGACCCACAGTTTGAGAACCGCTGCTTTAGAACACCCAGAGCAGTGAAAAGCACTGAAGAATCTGGTCCCTTTTGATAGCACTAGTAGCATTATTAATATTGATTCTGATGGAACAGCACAAGGAGATAAAAATCATGTTATGTTGGGTTAATGACATGAATACAGGATGTAATACAAAGGCCTCAAATAACATTCCAATGGAACTGCATTATCTGGCTGACACTAGAACAATTCCTTCAGAATTATGTTGGTTTAACATGTCACTTAAAAACATTTTGAAACAGCTTATAAACACACAAATTCCCTTGCCTGCAGGGCTTTGGTGTGGAGCCCAGAGCTGGAGCGCAGAACAGCTCCGGAGCAGTGGAGCTGCAGGTTTTTGCCTGGAGCTGGAGCGGAGCCGGAGCACAGCTCCAAAGCCCTGCTTGCCTGTTGATAAGTTATTTTACTACAACTGATAAAACATCAAACCTTATTTACTTTTCATCATTATGCTGCTAACTGCTAACATGTCACTCAGTAGGACAATAAAAACAGATTTAGGGTAACATTTTCAAGAGTGCCCAAGGAGCAACATTTTAAAGGTATTTTGGCACTTGAAGATGTAGCTAGGCACCCAGTGGTATTTTCAAAAATGCCTAGATACCTAAATCTCAGTAACTTTCAGTGAGATTTAGGGTACATTTTTCAAACATCTAAATAATTTAGGAATTTAAACGTTCAAAAAACAATTTAGGTGCCTAAGGATGCAGATAGGTACCTACTGGGATTTTCAAAAAGCAGCTGAGCATTTATCTATTTAGCTACATTGTTAGGGTTACAAAAGCTTCCTGGGAGTTTTTTCCCCACAAATCTTTTTTGTTGTAATTTAAAGAATTCAAAAGAACCATTTGTATTCATTTTAGGATTTAAATGAATTTTTAGAATTGCAAATTGGCTCTTTGGAACAATGATATTGTCTTTATGTTTTGGCAGCAGCCAACAAGTAATATTATTAGATTTTTTTAAAAATTCTTGTGTAACCTAAATTTTGGTTTGAATTATCTAACAGTATATTTTTAAGATGATTGGAGCTATTTCATGACAGGCAACTTCTAATTGCTTCAGGAATCTTGTTAGTGTAGTATAGGCGTAGGCAATCTATGGCACATGTGCCAAAGGTGGCACACAAGGTGATTTTCAGTGGCACTCACACTGCCCGGGATCTGGCCACCGGTTTGGGGGGGGCTCTGAATTTTAATTTAATTTTAAATGAAGCTTCTTAAACATTTTAAAAACCTTATTTACTTTACATACAACAATAGTTTAGTTATATATTATAGACTTATAGAAAGAGACCTTATAAAACGTTAAAATGTATTACTGGCACGCGAAACCTTAAATTAGAGTAAATAAATGAAGACTCGGCACACCACTTCTGAAAGGTTGCCGACCCCTGGTGTAGTATGTGGTGATACTGCTTCTTTAAAATTAGTCATGCACAATCACCAGAGGGCCTCCCAGGCATTTCTCATGATGCAGACACACTCTGACTAGTGGGGTCTGCAGTCTGAGGGACTGTAGGAAA